CCCACCACTAGTACTTTACAAGGTTGTTCCGATGTGACTCTTGCACAACCAGAGCCGCAGAAGGATAATCCACTGGGCGTGAACCCGTTCCTCAGCACTGGCTTTTCTCTCATCACGGGCAATCCTACACCGTCCACTGCAACAGGTGGCGTGAACAGTGGTCTTCCCGCCGCAACGACTCCCACGAGGTCATCGGTAACCTCGCAAATTCAACTCTCCAGCGCGATCCCGACGCGCTTCATTACGTCCGTTGTCACCCTCCCTGACAGAAGAGCTACGACGTTGACTATCGTGTAAGTCATATGCGTAGCTTCGCCTCCACCATTTACTCTCCTATCATCATGCTCCCACTGATATCCCTCTCCGGATAGAGCGGGATCGACGACGACGACAATAGATGGCGTTGTCACGGTGATACCACCCGGAGGGACCACCTCGGCAATCCTATCCCCATTGAACGGAGCTACCCGGCACTCGAGTGTCCGACCTGTTGTCTACTTGTTTCTGATCATCCTAGAAATCCCAATAGCTTGGCTAGGTCTTTAATCACTTGGAGCTTGGCGGGATGCAAGATTGGCAACGCCACCGCGACGTGAGATAGAGGCCGTAGACTCACAAATGGTCTTTAATGGATAGGATGTGGGTTAGAAAACACTCGTTTGATTGCTATTTTCTTGGGAGTCGAAACTCACTGGTGTGGAGTGAAATTCAACATGTACACGAACATCGGAGTCTACTCCACTGCATCCATGCCCTGGACCACACCCGGCAACATTCTCAAGTCGCAACCTTTTCATTGCAAGCGTAGCACCTACTTAGGCTCGTCGAGAGCCACCACACATGGACGCAAACTCACACGGTTCAAATGCTGGCTTCTGTCTCCCTGGGCGTGTCGGGAAGCAACCCCGCTTGGAAAAAAGTCTGCTTCTGACCGCAACAACCCTGCAAGTCCCATTCGCACCACTAGGATGAAAGAATAGCAAATTTCGCTTTTGTTTGATATCCCACTTGTGTGGACCCCTTTCTGTCGTCATCTGCGTCGTCGTTGCGGGTATTGTTGCCCTCGATCATCCCCTCTGCGGTCGTCAAGCTGTTCCACGGAGGCCTGCTGAGCAGGAAAAGCAACAACTCGCTCTGAGGTTGGCCGTCGCATTGCCTGCGTCTTCAGTCTGCGGTCGTGCTTCACCTTCCTTCTTTCGGTTTTTGGCCTTGAACTCCCTGATCGACCACTCGTCACCGCTGGCGGGTCGCACTGGGTCACTCACCTCCAAGGAGCAGGACTGATGCTCTAGGCGTGTTTTCTGGCTTCACATTCGGATACAACCCCTATTCCAATCCCGACCGGAATCTCGAACGCTACAACAAGTACGATACCCGACCTAGTCCATCCAACTCACATTCCTTTCGCGTCGATCTTTCAGTCTTTTTTATCCTCGCTGCGGCTGAGCTGCGCCTCCCATTCCCAACTGTTCACCTTACCCTCGATACCCCACCAACATGTCGCAGGCGCTCACCTTGTCATTCCAATTTGGTACTGCGACATTATTGCCTACCGCAACTGTAACATCTTCCTTCGACAAGCCCCCACCTAGTGTCCTGGTTCTTAGTCCTATCCCGCAAGTACGTTATCCCGCCTGGGAGCCCGCGTTCTATCGTTGCTAATGGCGTATTCAGGTAGACAAGGTGCTCAGCGATGTCCCATTTTTCTGTACAGGTGTACTCGCTTTTGCCATGATCATATTCTCGCTTGCAACTAGGCGTCTCAATCAGTAAGCACTCGTACGCCCTCATTTCCCGTTGTTTCTGAATATTTTTACCACTTTTTAGACCACTGTCATACATTGTATCGTCCGCCATTGCCGCCTTTATTGGTGGTGTGGTCGATTTGGCCGCTGTTCTCAACACCACCTCGTCAAACTTTTTCGCCCTCTTGGTGGCCCGTGAAATGGCCTACGCGGCGTCTGTTGGGCTTCGCTTCTTATTCTTCTGGGTGTTCGCAGGGCGGCGGCCAGAGATCGAGGTCATATCCCTCCCACCGCTCAGTCCTCGCGCGGCGGCAGAGCGTCCCACTCGTGACGACAATTCAACACCCAGCAGCAAAACGCACAGTGCAAGCTGGGCCCGATTAGGGCTGGCCGGAGTTGCTGTGCAGTATACCACCTTCTTTGCGTGTTTCATGATCATGATCCTGCAAACGATCTGGCGGTTTGGCGCATTGTTCAAGTTGAGCAAGTTCATCGCGCTGTACAGGGCAGATGCGTGGATGGAAATCGCAATTTCAGTCGTCTTCATCGCAAAGCTCTGCACGAACGCGTACCTATCGTCTCGCAGGCCATGGTGGAAGATTTGGAGAACCACCGGCCCTCTTGTCTTTGCACTGCTTGTGCAAGCTGGAGTGCCGATTGGAAACCTCATTGTAGGTACGTATCTCCTGGTCTTCTGGCTTGTTCTAAGTAATACTAATTGCTTGGCCGTCCTCAGTTCGCTTTTCCGAATGCTGTCTGGGACGTCTGCTTCAAGCGCTGGAGATATATATCGTCCTTGTCACTCTCCTCATCTCGGTCTTCTTGGACGCCCCTTCTCATCGACTGCGACCCGGGAACCTTGCAACATCCTACCGCACACGCACATCCTCGTTCCAGGGCTTGGCTATTCGTAACTCCTTCCGCCCTTTCCGCGCAAGCCTAGTTAATAGCTTGGCCTCACCCAATAACAACGCCGGACCATCTAATTCACTCTCGCCCACAAAACCTCCGACGATCCGCCAGACTACCGCTGAACGATTCACCAACTGGGTCGCCGCCCGGGTCTCAGGAGACAAGAATAGCGATGACCAAGTCCGCTTGTGGGACCAGACAAGGATCAACACGGACGTCGAGAAGGGGGGATCTCCTGAGCTCAAGACAGCCTCTGATGACCTTAGTCCTTTGGCATCCAAGGAGCAAAAGGTGTCCTACGGCAACGTGAGTCCGCAAGTGGTCACTCTGACTTCGGTCGCAGACCGCATGACTGGCGCGGGTCCAGCTATGAGCGTGCGCCCTTCTATCGTGCGAACAGTCAAGACTACGAAGGAGGCCGTACCAATGAAAGCACCCTCTAAGCGCAGCTCATATAGCGTCGACGAGGGGCGACCGTCCATCACCCGCGTAGAATCTCTACGTTCTTCCATCGAGATACCTCAAGCCCCCGTCGAGCGCACGGAATCACCAATCTATGGCCTTGACGGTATCATTCGGAACTTGGCATCGAGAAATGCACTTCTGGAGATGAGTAGCCCCGCGCCGGAGACTATGTTGCCAGACGTAGAACACTCCCCAGCATTAACGGAATCCACGGTACCGTCACTTGCTTCCCCTAACCGCGACTCATTGGCTCGGCAGCAAAGGGAGCTCGAACAGTCTGTGCGCTCACTGCAGTTGTTCTCCCCCACCGCGACCGTCGCTTCCACAATCACTGCGAAGCCACGGCGAAATAGCGTCTTTCTAGAGCAGCCCGCCCCAGTACCAGAATTGCCGAAAACAAAACCCGCCCCGGGCAGTCGGCCCGCAACAGGGAACCGTTCAACCCCTTCGACCGCGAACGGCGAATCCATCTCTGCTTCTTTGAACAGTGAATTCTCTCTTCTCAGCAACTTCCCTTCCCCACCCGCCGCTTTGAAGGCGTTCATGATGGAAACGACGTCCGAAAAGTCCGAGCCTAGAACATCACTGGAATGGGATTCTCGGTCGTCATCAGCGGCCCAACCAAGAGAACCCCCATCGGAACCCGTCGCAGGCCCTTCAAAGCCAACGGCTACCCCTCGCCCCGCTCGGACTAGGCGTTTATTGGATGAAGTGATGTCTCCTGTCGACTCTATCAACGTTGATGACATTCCTTTCACGCTGGTGCCACCGCGAATGCCCGCAGTGGCGTCGGAAACCCATCAACGGCAGATGTCGCTCCAATCAACAAGAGGAAGTGACTTTTCTATCAAGTTTGACGGATCCAAGTCTCACGTCGACGATGGCGGACGACGTTTGGATGTTACGTCGTTCATCGGAGGTGGGTTGGAGCCTCATTTCTCATTTGGATTGCTATTGATACTTTTCTACCTTTCCTAGGCTTCAGTAAAACAGACGGCGTGCCCCATTCACCATCGCATGCCCGGCAAGACTCTGATAAAAGCGGAAAGACGATGCATTCATCCACAATTCTAGAAGAAGATGAAGTACGCACATCAACTGATGTCGAGGCCATCACTACCAAGACAGCTGTGCGGCGAACGAGTACGATTGCTCGGGCACGCTTGGTCGACCGAAATTCTATGGCCAATAGCAGGACTGCCGAGAGCGATCGCTTCTCGGAAGACTCCATACGCCCGGAACAATCGGCCATCCCTGCTTCCACCACCGTCGCTACACCTCCCGCGGTCGCCTCACCTTCGCGGCGTCAAGCCAACGCTTTACCCTTTTCTCCTAGACCTCCTGCTTCCACCACTGGCCGCACAGTAGCGCAGGCCCCGTTATCAAAGGCACGGAACCCAGGCTTGCAAATTAGCAGTCCCATAATGCCGACCGAGCCCTCAAAATCCTTTGAACGTCCTCGACCACCACCACTAGCACTAGGAGCCCTGCCCAAGAAACCTTCGTCAGACGCACTGCGCAAGTAACACAAACGGACCATTGCTCTTTCCCACTTTCGCTGATCTTTTTTTTTTCGTTCTTCTACTTTGTCGCTTTGAATAAAATTCTCCGCGTTGATGCTGTTTCCCGACGTGTATATACTTTATCACATTTATTTCATACACCTCTTCGTTCTGTTCGTCGTTGGTCATAACGACGCACACTTTTGACCACCAATTATTTGTTTCTCGTTCTGGTTTCCGAAGGACTGTTGCTATGAAAACGTGTCGATACATTATTGTAGCAAGATCTCACTTGAAATACAGTGCCAAATAATGTGGTTGGTGCTGGGGCAATCGGAAGCTGACATGTATACCAATGGTTGGCCATGACTAACCGTCTCTCTTGGTATATCGGTAGAACACCACCCTGTCAGGCTTCGGCGAAGTGCGGTGGAGAGCTGGGTTCGACTCCCAGAGGGAGAGCATTTTTTGCATCCACGTGTACTGACGCTCAACGTCCCACTCCAACTTATGTTTCACAACCTCTACAGCCTCCCCATCACCACGCCGATCCAGAAAGCCTGCCCGTGCGATTAGCAACCTACAACTAGGATGCAGCAAAGCCCCTATCACCCGACTGTTTTCTTCCTTTCATCTCGCACATACGTTTTTTCCCCGTTTTTCTCTTGAGCAGTCCCAACTTCCGTCGTGAAGTTGGCAAATGTCACTCGCTACTTCCGAAGGACTGCTTTCGTCATACTGATTCCAAGATACTACGGATGGAAATGACGAATTCTTGGTCGAACGAACAAGATGTGATGTTTTTGTCCTAGGTCCAAGAAGTCATCGCCGGAGCTATTTTACGGATTAGTCCTTATAGTACATGGCCTCCCGGTCGGCACTAATTGCCCGGGCATATTCCAGTAACAAGCGGTACATCTACGCGAAAGGCGTGAGTTCCGCTGTACCCGACAGAGGATTACGGGAACACGCACATAGGCTTGAAGATCCTCCCATCGCCAATGGCGACGAACAAAATCTGCTGCTTGCATACCAATTCTCTCTGCCAAGTCTTCGTGTTCGCCATGACCCTCGGGTGAACCCGCGAAGAACGACATCACGTTATAGAGGTCCGAGTAGTCGTGCTGAACGGGCTAGACCAACGCTAGAGGTGAGGAATCGCGAATTGAACCAAGGGCAGGATGACCTCACGATATAGTGATAGTACGGGACGAGCCAATCGGTGTTCCATTCCGGGAAAACGGTGGACTTGAGCACGAGACTACCTGAGGCTAACAAGGCTTGATATCGTGCCGACCATCCGTTTCCGTCTGCGGGTCGCGTGAGTTAGCGTAAATATTGGCGTAAGATGGCAGAGACACCCACCAACGTCCAGCACGTATTTGTTGCGTCCAACCTCGCCCCACACCGGTGCCAAGAACTCGACCTCCCTTGCAATCGTATCACAAGTGCCATCTTCCTCGGCGCATTGGATGGGAGGCGCGTATCGAGATAAGCGCTATTGAGTACCTTACGGCGGTACCTTTTATGGGATAGTCGCCCCTTAGAATCTTCAACAAGAAGGTCAACGACGTCATCGGAGAAGGTCGCATTATTGGCGAGATTGTGCAGGCGAATGCGATGCGAGTTCCGCCATGGATATCTTGTGTCGTGGTGGCTTCCTGTCATACGGCCCCTCCAAAAGAGTTTTGAGTTGGTACGCTCTGACCAAGGCGTGATCTTGGCCTTGCTGAAGTCTTGAAAGCGGACAAGAGATGGGTATTGTATATTACCGCCCTGGCGAAGCTTTGACTGGACGAAAAGAGGGAAGATAAGCGAGTCCCCTGCGAGGTTGTAGAGAAAGATGCCATTGTTGTCCAGGATATCGGGGTTATTGCAATAGTTCATGGTAGCAAGATGGTCATATATGAAGCGGACTGTGTAGTATAAGCTTGTATACATGAGATGAGATGAGCGAAAAGACTCACAGAATTGATCGGGAGGGTCCCTCTGCGCGATCCCTCTCTCTCGAAGGACAGCGGGAGCGTCATCAAAACAAGCCTTCGTTACAGTCTTGCGTGGGTTTCTTTTCTTGCTTTCAAAGCGGGTAATGTTCTCTGGAGAGAGGTCTGGGCATCAACATCGGGCGTTAGTAACTATGCGGGGCGGCGAAGAGGGCGCGTCGTACATGCGCCTTGAGCAAGAACGCGTTTGACCTCGACACGAAAGTCGTCACCGTATATGTGCGGCCCCATGTCATGAAACGAGACGTGAATTGTCATGTTTGGGAGACTTGGGGCAATGTCAGTTAGGAGGTCCACCAAGTCAGCCGCTCGTGGTCCCCCGGTAGCATCGACATCGCCATCGTTCAGGGTGATGTGATAAGTGTCAAAGTGACGCTCGGCTTTAGCCACCCTAGTCGCGACAGCATCTGGGGGTATTGCGAGGAACGGAGAGATGTCGCGATCTATCTGGTCAAACTGTATGGTGTTCGTGGCGTTCGTGGTCCAAGCATAAGTCGGCGGCTCACCTCATCGATCAAAGCAACGTTGTTTTCGACGGACATTCTATACCTGTATCCACTTTTTCTTAATTCTGTGTAGTGAGATGAGCAAGTAGCCTACCACTTGTCGAAACCTCGGGGTGGTGAGCGACCATATCGCCTACGATACTCATGAACCGCTTCGTCCAATGATCGGCTTTGGCTGGGGCGTTTTTAGTAAGAATCAGATGTTATAGGCGTGGAAGCGAAGTACCGTCGAAGAAGCTCGTCCCAGTGTTGCTCAGCCTGCTTCATCATGTCATGAAACGGATGCCTTGGGCTGCGACGCGGGATGTAAGGCGAATGCACGTGCCCCTTCTCGTCGATAGGCACAAGAACCTTTCCATCAAGGCATGTTTCCCAAGTGTGGTTGAGCGGTAGTGAGGTGAGTGCCGAATCATCAAGAGGGCGAAAGGGCGGAAGCACATGGTAGTCGGAAAAGGGATACGTGAAATAAAGTCCCGCGACAACAAGTAACAATGCAAGACGAGAGATGCGCCGAAAGAATCGCGTGTGGCCGGGGCGAGGGAATGAGAGGTGCATGTTGGTGGGTGAGGGAAAGGGCGGTCGACTGAGGCGAGGCGGAAACTTTACTTGTATCTACATGGCGTTCTCCGCACTACCATCCCCAGCGCTGAGGATCGGGAAAGGTAAGAATAGAGATACAGACTAACCCTTGCATGGAAGTTTGCCCGTTCTGACACACAACGTAGCAATGAATTCCCTGGGTGCCAAGGCACTAATTAAAGACGTTCCACCTGCCCCACTATACCCTAGAATTTAAGTACACTTATCTATCCAAGTACCTACATAATTTTGGACGTAAAACGTGTGTTCTATCGGAAAGCTAGGGATTTGAAAGGCACCGAATGTTGCCCACTAAGCAACCCTCATAGTATCAGCTTCTGCTCAAAGGCAACCTATAGAAGACGGATCAGACTTGACACCGAAAGAAGGGTTCGGTTATTTCCCTCGTTGACTTGGGCTGTTGTAGTCGAGGGGAATGTTTGAAACTGAGTCGCATTATCCGTGGATACGTGGTGATCCGTCATTTTGAGCGCTATTCGGGACATAGAGCTTACCGTTTGCTTATCGGAACGGCTGGGGGTGCTGTACTTTCTAATCAGGCCACAGGCCACAAGACTCGGCAGACAGCACAACAAGGGATACGCCAGGAAACCTGGAATGCTTGGCACGTCCCGGGTGCTAGTAAAATTTACTCCGCCTTGGGAACCCTCTCGGTACAACAAGTGAGGGGCTCAAAAGTTATGATTGGGACAGTTGGCGGGAATCTACCACCAAAGGTTGCTGATATATGGTTACAGTCATGGGTTCAGTTCGGAAGCTTGGGGCTCGGTGGGTATGTGTGGTGCATTTCCAAGCGATGGGGTGTCAGCCGCAAAAGGATCTCGCTCAAGAGCTAGCCGCACGTCCTCCGCTTTTTTCGCTTTCTTCCTTGCTGCTTCCTCTTCTACCTCGGCCTGCTTTGCGAGGTACCTGTAGCAGGTGCTTCAGCTCCAGCGAAAAGTAAATATCGTTGGACATACGCTTTGCTCCCAACGACCTTCTCTGGGTTTGTACATATCTTCAACCTCTTATCGATATCACGGACAACCTCTATATTTGGCGGCTGACTGTCCCTCTCGATCATTTCTTCAATCCGCCGCACGATGTCCATTAGCGCGTCACCGTCATTCGGGCTCATCAAACCAGCCCAGCGCTCTGCCAGAGCGGGGGATGCCAGATGAAGGCATGCAAGGGCGATCTGAGGTGGTGTGTAGATGAGTTCGACATCTGTCATTCGGGAAGCTCGAACCCAGGCTAGCGCAGAAGCGTGTTCCTCATCTGTGGTGCTTTTGTTGAATTCAGGGAGGGCCTAGCAAGGGTTTCATCAGCGACTGGTGACCAAGTATATAAGAAGCGAGGTACATACCTGAGAGTCTAACCACAAGCCCCAAAGGGCACGATGGGCATGCCAGACGGTGAACTCGAATCGAAGGCTCTGGGCAACGAGAAACTCGAGGTCTAGCACGTCAGAAGCCTTTGTTTTGGGTATATTGTTAACGTAGTGATCAATGCCGATCGGGTGATTTGAGGTCTTGGCTGCCAAAAAGATAGCTGTGAGCCTGTGGTAACGCCGGTGAGGACGACAGGTCGGCGTAATGTGAGGTCGGAGGAACATACATGACATTTTTGGGGTGGTAATCCATGACGGTGTTTCTCAAGTAAAACCGTTTCAAGTAGGATACCGAAGTAGCTTCCACTTCCTCTGGAAATCGGAAGTGGGAGCATAGTTGGCTCACTTTGGAGATGTACAGTTTGACAAGTACGTGTTCTTCGTTTGCGGTAAGGAAATGGATGTTGGAGGATGATCCTGGCTTTGCAATCGGAGTGAGACAAGTAATTACAGAGAACCGTGTAAAAGGCATACTGCATCGGACTCGAAAGCATCCCGAATTTTCGTGACGGCATCGTTGTTCTGGGATTCACGAACACCAGCTAGGGCTTTCTCAGAGAATCGCCAATGTTGGTATTGAGTGGAAGCCTCGTACAGAGACTTTTTCGTCCTCCCATTTTGCTGGGCCGAGGGTGGTAACGCCATTTCGGAGTCGGTGGTTGGTTGGTGAAGGAACTTGTGATATCTGCGAGGTTGCCGAACGGCGGGGAGTTCTGACCAGCCAGCCACCTGCAGGTCACAAGTGTGTTCCCCACTGGTTCGCTATCAAGTTTAATCATTCGGAGAAGGGCACGGGGTGAAGTCTGGAAGAATTGCATATGGTTGTGGGTTCATTTCGAAGGAACGTGGCCCGCCCGGCATGTCCCAGTTTCCCACCCGACTGCACCAGTGAACTCTCGCTACGATCTGCTGTGTGATGGTTCATATATTAAAGGCACGAGTAAGTATTGCTCAACGTGTTTTCCGCACAAGGTCAGTAGAACG